ACGGCTACAGGCTTCTCTATAAATGTTTTCTTTTTTTTTTAAGTTTTTCTTTATTTATTTTGAGAGAGACTGAGACAGCGTGAGTGGGGAGGAGCAGAGAGAGGAAGGGAGAGCTGCAAGCAGGCTCCACCCTGCCAGCACAGAGCCCGACTCGGGGCTCGACCCCACGAACTGTGAGATCATGATCTGAGCCACTGTGAGATCATGATCTGAGCCGAAATCAAGAGTCGGAAGATCAACCAACTGAGCCACCCAGGGACCCCAACACAGGCGTCTCTAGACCCCGAAGAAGCAAGACTTGCTCTCATCCATTTACACCCAAGTGTACAGGGCTCGGAAGTGGAGTGTGAATTCGCAAGCAGGAAATCATGCAACAAACTGGGTGAACGTTTCTCCTCACTTCTTGGGGCGGATGTAGTCATACATGTTTCGGTTACAATGTTTCGGAGGGAACAATTTTTTAACACTAGTAGGCCCAGAGTGTCATTACATACGGAAGATGATTCAACAAACTGCATCTGCATGTGCAAGGGAGAAAGGAAGCAGACATTAGCTCACAGCTGGGAGGGAGAAGGCCATGGGCACAGCGAGGAAATCGGACTTGAGAAATGAGGGACTAGCTCTAAAATGAGCAACACAAAGAGCAGAGACACGGCCCCAAAGGAGAGGAAGATTGTATTGTATTTATTTTTTAATATATATTTTTAATGTTTATTTATTTTTGAGGGAGAGAAAGATAGAGCATGAGCAGGGGAGGGGCAGAGAGAGGGGGAGACACAGAATCCAAAGCAGGAGCCAGGCTCCGAGCTGTCAGCACAGAGCCCGACACGGGGCCTGAACTCACAAACTGTGAGATCATGACCTGAGCCAAAATCTGATGCTTAACTGACTGAGCCACCCAGGCACTCTGAGAGGAAGATTTTAGAACAGGAAGGGCAGAAGCAGAAAATATTATAAGGAGGATGGTCTTGGGTCAAGACTAAATGAAACATTTATTGATTTAAGAAAGAAAGAAAATCTGCTAGACCTTAGTTATTAATATTGTATTTAAAAGGATCTATTTTTTATACTATAAATTATAAAGGACCCACAAATAGCTAACTGTAAATCTACATGGAGGAAAGGTCTTACTGACAATTCCCAGACCGTGGAACTGTTATTAGAACAGACTGGTCACATACGGGACCTGAATGACAGGGCTATGTGACAATGGACATCTTCGGGCCACTGGACCCTCATCTCAAATATGCTGGCCTCATTCTGCTTATGTCAATTTGTAAAGTAACTGCACTCTTCCTATCTTTTATTGGGGGCTACGTATAAGGGTTCTAACATAACACCAATAATGAATAACAAGGTTGGTTCTAGGCTGTTCTGAGGAAGGCAGCCAAACCAGAAAGGATGTGTGTGCAGATTCTATGCTCCAGCAGAGGGCAGTCCCACACAAAAATCACTCTCCAGGAAAAACTGACGTCTGTTACTGCAAATTTCCCATGTTACTGAGTAAATGTTATTCAGCGTCACCACAATGGGCGACTTGTCCATACGGGGTATCCTGAAATATCGGTGGGCAATCCTGGCAAACAACTGAAGCCCTAACCATTTTAAATCTTAAAAATTTTAAGGAAAGCGTGCCTATGTGAGCCTCCTTTTCCACAAGCCTTCCTCTGGGTCTGTGTGTCTCGGGCGTGTGTGGTGTTTACCGTGACTTTGCCTCCCTCTCTCTCATGTGGTGATTTTCTACGCAAGCAAATAAAATTGGTTCGTAACATAAAGCCTCGCTCCGTAACACTATCGGAAGACCATCTCCTGGAACTTAGCTAAAGTGATTTCATCTTCCCAGTAGCAAAAGGACCTTATTATAAGCAGTTTCGTTTCTAACGCGGTCAACGTAACCTAGATCCTTAGGAGCAGCATGAGAAAAACTCTCAGGTGTAATGAACCTGCGTTTTAAGTTATTTGATCAATTAATCAGAAAGCGTTTTCCTTCTTTTCCACTCTCTCTTTTGTGGAGTCTCGGCATATTTATGCTGTTCTATTTATTTGCTGAAAATTAACTTGAAAAATTTTTTGGCTTATTAGGCAGTGGAGTTTGATATGTCTGTATGGAAGAGAGAGAAAAGCTGTCCTACCTTTAATCAAAGTCTAGGGGCTGAATGAACTTGACTTGAAAAAAACCTTTTAGTTAAATTTCTCTCTGCTAATATCATACTTCTAATAACTAAAACTTTTCGTGAACTCAAATGCCACCTGATACAGATGTTGAGGATGGGCAAATCACGGTAAATTCAAATTCAAACAGCACGTGTCCATCAACTCCCCCGCACACAAAAATCCTGTCCACCCCTAGCACTGCCCCCATGCAGTTACAAACAGGAATTTTAAGCCTTCGTAGCCAGTGGTGGAAGTTACTAGCAATCAGGACTTTGGACATAATGATGCCAAAAGGAGAGATAAGGGCGTGATACCCTGTGCTCACACTGTTTTCCTGGAAGTCCTGACTTTGACCGTAAAGGAACACACTCAGCCCTGCCCACACCTGAATCACCTAAATTCCGTCTTAACATTTTTTAAATAAATGTGTGTCAAATTAACGTTTTCCCTATTTTTAAATGTTTATTTACAATCTCATTTTTGACAGAGAGTGAAAGAGAGATAGTGAGCACAAGCGGGAGAGGGGCAAAGAGAGGGAGACACAGAATCGGAAGCAGGCTCGCAGCTCTGAGCTGTCAGCCCAGAGCCTGACACGGGGCTCCAACTCACTAGCCATAACATCCTGACCTGAGCCAAGGTTGGACGCTTAACCGACTGAGCCACCCAGGTGCCCGTTAATGTTTCTGATCCAACTCACAGGTAAACTCAGCTGACATTTACAAACAACAGCCATGTTCAAGATACGATGATGAGTTCAAAGTCTGTTTTGAGATGGAGATTCTGAGTTTGGCATAGGTGGATTTGAGAAACTTAACAGAAGACCATGGGGGAGGGGAAGGGGGAAGAAAAGTTACAGAGAGGGAGGGAGGCAAACCATAAGAGACTCTTGGATACTGAGAACAAACTGGGGGTTGATGGGGGGTGGGGGAGAGGGGAAAGTGGGTGATGGGCATTGAGGAGGGCACCTGCTGGGATGAGCACTGGGTGTTGTATGGAAACCAATTTGTCAATAAATTATATTTTAAAAAAAAGAAATTTTGAGTTTGAAATCGGAATCATGTCCAAAAGTAGTGCCAACAGGGACCATTCCCAAGCCAGCTTACGAAAAACTTTTAATTCAGAAATTTGTGAGATACAGAACTGACGGTTCTCAAGAACCTAATCACCACGTGTAACAAGTGTTTTCATGGGAAAAATTTTCACCATTCTCCAGATTTAACATCTGGGACATCAGCAGCTTAAATTTTTTTAAATGTTTGTTCATTTTTGAGAGAGTGAGAGAAAGAGAGAGAACCGGCACGGAGGGGCAGAGGCGGGGTGGACAGAAGATCCAAAAGCAGGCTCCGTGCTGACAGCAGTGAGCCCGATGTGGGGCTCGAACTCATGAATCATGAGATCCTGACCTGAGCCAACAGATGCTCAACCGACTGAGCCACCCAGGCGGCCCAAACTTGAATTTTTTTGTGAAATTTGCAGCTGTGACCCTACTGAATGGAAATTTAGAAGGCCACGTCCCCCAGCTACTGCTCCAAGCCACCGAGGGTGGTATGTGATGTGCCACGGGTTTCAATAAAGCGGAGTATCCACTGAGCTGGGAACTGGGGGGGGCGGGGGGGTGTGTGACGGGGAAGACCAGGGAAGATGGAGGGAGGGCGCCTTGGTGGGGGTGTTGTTATTCCAATCCTCTCCTCCACCAGGTTGCCCTGTCTTCTGGCGCTGTACCTCTCTCTTGTGTCACCGGGGGTGGAGGGAGTCTCTGGGAATAAAGGAACCTTCCCATCCTCCCACTGTGGGAACGATGGCTGGGGTTGGGGGTGGAGGACCACCTGCTCTTTTCTGTCTCCATTTGGAGACAGTGGAGACCTAGAGGGGGGAGGGGGGAGGGGGAAGATGGCAGGAGGGAAAGGGCTTTTTCCTCCCGTCTTTCCAGCAGCAAACCCTTCCATCAACCACACTTCACCTCCCCCTAAAACCATCTAAGAACATCAGATATTCTTTGGAACCAATTTTTCATTCGGTTTGAAATCTTTTAAAAGTTGGATTTTAATGCCAATCTCCTGCCCCAGCGTCAGCGTGAAAGATTCCCCATTCTTGGCTAAACCTCTGTGTAGTGTTTGTTCGTGACCCTGTATCCAGCTGGGACAGTAGGTACTAGAAGTGGTTACATTCCAACGTTGGGCCTGGTGAGTTTTGTTTCTTAACGAAGCTTGATCTCATGGGTGAAAACACTCAGCCTTACACAAAAGATGGAAAAGTACATATTAAGTTAATTTTTAAAAAGTCTTGGGTAACAAAGGGCATTCTGTGTACTCTCTTTGTGAAACACTTTCCTAAGGTCCTTATTCTCCCTCCTGATTCCTGACTCTTTCCTCCCCAAACCACTATTTTTTATTTCTTGCAAAAATACTTGAGCAGATGACACCTTTGACAGTGCATGGATGACAAAAGCATTTGAATAAAAAAGATGGCACGTGTGGTCTGAAGGCATGGCCCCATAATACCAATATCCTGCTACTTCACCTAAGTACAGTAAAACCTTGGATTGTGAGTAACTCGTTCTGCTAGTGTACTGCAAGACGAGCAAACGCTTCTAATAAATTTTAACTCGATAAACGAGCGATGTCTTGCCATACGAGTCGTACGTGACGCTGAATGTCACATGGTCACAACTGAGCCAATGGTTCTTGAAATTCGCTTTGACAGACAAGTGCTTTGGATTACAAGCATGTTTCTGGCACGAATTATACTCGCAAACCAAGGTTTTAATGTCCCTTATGTTTCTTCTAAGCTGTGGGCGCCCCGTCCAGCATGAAGGATCCTATGGATGATGATCAACTGGGGCCATCAACAATCTTAGTTCTTATTTCAATCTTCCACAGTATTTAAGGGAGAGGATAATTTTATTTTCATCATGGCATGAGTCCATTCTGATTGTAGTCTTTGGCCCTGGTCCCTATGTGAGTCTACAAAGTATTTTTCCCAATTCCAGGTTCAAATGTTAAATTAAAACAGATGTGCAAAACTAAACAAACAAAAATCCACCACCAAAACACAACCTACCCCTCCAAAAAAAACCCCACCAGCTTTGGGGAAAACCAATGTCCACTGTCATGTGTCCTCATCCTAAACCCTTAAGAAAGAACAGATCCACATTCCTCCTTAACCTGTGGCTGTTTCAATGTCCAAAGAGGCCAGCGGGAAGCGGAGAGGTCTAGAAGTTCCTGGGGTGGTCTCCACGCCCCCTCTTGGGCCACTCCTCATCCACCCACCTGTGCAGGACCTTCTCCACGTCGGCCCTGTGGTAGAGCCTGCAGAGCTCCATCAGCTGGCCCACCGGCCTCTGACTGTTCCGGAGCAAGAACTCCAAGGTGGGGCTCTGAGGCCTCTGCTCCAGGAAACACAGTTCGTCATAGGGCATGCCCCATTTGCTTGCAAAATTCCTCCAGTTTTTTACTGTCGGGTGATACGGATCCAGCTTTATCCTGATGACGTCTAGTAAGTCCTGATCATTGAGTAAGTCACTTATGGTGGGGGCCCGGAGCGAGCAGGCGGGACAAATGCAGTCCTCCTTGCAGGACTCGCCTCCGCTTATATCTGCAGAAACAAACAACACGGTCCCCACGTCAGCAAGGCAGCGAGCGCACGCGTCCATCTCCTCGGTCCTTTATTCTCCTGCTCGAATGCCTGCTCGAACAGCACTGGTGTAGATACCACACACTGTATCTTACAGAGGGATGTTTCAGAATACTCATTTCTGTAGACCCCCACAACAAATGGGTTTAAAAAAAATTTTTTTTTAATGTTTATTTCTGAGAGAGAGAGAGACAGAGTATAAGCAGGGGAGGGGCAGAGAGAGGGAGGGAGACACAAAATCTAAAGCAGGATCCAGGCTCTGAGCTGTCAGTGCAGAGCCCGACACAGGGCTCAAACCCACGAACCCCGAGATCATTACCTGAGCCGAAGTCAGACGCTTAACTGACTGAGCCACCCAGGCGCCCCAACAAATGTGGTGTTCTTGACAACCAAGGGTGGGTTGCTTTGCCGGATGCACTAGTAAGATTTTATACAGTCGATTTCCCTTTCTTTTGGAGACTCCCTGTGTCTTACATTGTGCATTTGTGACAGTGTGGACCAAAATCTGGGATCCGAGGAGCAAGGCTCTCTCTGTAGGCAGGTCACCAGCGGGAGTCAGACTCTGTCCCGTGAGTAAACCAGCCCATACTTGCCTGTACCTCAACCCTTACCCTTTCCAAGCTACAAGTCAGCCCTGACAGCTCTTTAATGCCAAACACACAGCACATGAGGGTATAAAGGATTGTGCAATGTTTTAAAAGGCCTTTAAACACACACACACACACACACACACACCACTGAAAACTGGAATATCCACCCCATATGCATATTTGAAACGGAGTGATAATTGATAATGCCAGAAAACGTACTTTTCAGATTTACGGCCACCTTATCATCGCTTTGCCTTTATCTGTGTTTTCTTCACCCACGGGGCTGCCTTTGAAGCGGAGCCAACAGCCTGAGGTGTGCACAGGGGGCTGGATGAACAGGAGGCTTTTGAGCTGAGCCTCACCAAGAAGGGCACAGCCCCAGCCCAGAGGAAGGGCAACATTCTTCCATCAGTCATCTTTAGCTCACTTTAATACTAGGAAGCATGTTAGGAGGGGGAGGAAGGGGTAGAGAAGTCCTTTACAATAAAGTCGCAAGTGGGTTTGCACAACATGGTAACCTAAGTGACTTAAATTCTACATCAGCACTAGGTCTCCTGGCTCCTTCTGCCTAGGGATTTTCACTTTTTTTTTTTTTTTAATGCTTATTTATTTTTGAGAGAAGAGAGAGAGCGAGCGAGCAGGGGAGGGGCAGAGACAGAGAGGGAGACACAGAATCTGAAGCAGGCTCCCAGCACCGTGCTGTCGGCACAGAGCCCGATGCGGGGCTTGAACTCACAGACCCTGAGATCGTGACCTGAGCTGAAGTTGACACTTAACCAACTAAGCTCCTCAGGCGCCCCACGGATTTTAATAGCTACGCTATGCTAGAGATCTCTAGCTTGGAAAATTCTGGGAGGTTATAATGACCTTTACTACACTGAGCCCTGGACTTCCCGATTTAGGAAAGTAAGGAATTTGGAAAAAAGGGCGTCACTTTGGTGATCGTTGGGAACGATCTGGTGGCAAATACAAATGACAACAAGGACCGTGAAGATTACGCTCATGCTCTTTGACCTGTTAACATAACTTCTGGGAATAAGAGATAATCTACACTATGTATGACAATTTTTAATTACAGTCTTATCCTTATTATCCACTGTTTAAACAAATGTCAAAGAGAAGGGGCTCGTGAAACAAATTGTTGTACAACTTGACGGAATATTAGTTAAGTAACTATGAACACTGTGTAGCAACCCAGAGAATGCTTGTGCTATAATGTTAAATGAAAAATGCAAGATGCAAGATGTAAGATGTGTGTGTACTCTATGTTAGAACTATGTGAAAACTCTATGTTACTATTACTCTGGAAGGAAATGTACAAGAATAGTAACAGTCATTATCTTAATTCGGTAGGATTACGCTTCTGTTTTCCAAACTTTCTCCAGCGGTTGTGTTGTTTCTGTGATAACCAGCACAGCGTATCACATGAACATGCAGGTCCCCACTTGACTTTGAAGGTCACCTGGACCCCTCCTGCTGCTTCTAATGCCCCCCTTCACCCTGGCCCCCCCTTAGATATGGCTGCCTCCCTTCACCCTAGCCCCTCCTTAGATACGGCTGCTTCTGGAACTGATCCCAATGCTCCTTTGTCCCTTTGGACACTGTATATGGCACGGCAGGCTGCATCCTCCCGGAAGGTTCCTTCTGACAGCGCTGGCCCAACACCCCCATGTCCCCGCTGCATCCTTTCCCCTGGCGTCTGACACGCTGAGATCTCCGCCTGTCTCACTGCTGAGTCCTTGAGAGTGACAAGAAGGTGCTCTGGTACTGTTCTTAGCACTAAGCTCTCCCCGTCCACACTCCCTCCCTTCGGTCCCCTCCCCCACCCCCAACACCCCCCACCGGGCGCTCCCGCTGTAATGGAAGGCCCCTTCTTTTTGCATCTGCCGACCCAGCATAGCCCTTAGCATACAGCAAACGCTTAAGCACTGTTTGCTGAGTGAGTGAATGCATGAGTGCATAACTGCTCTTTTGCACCCCAGAACTGACCACTGGAAAGCCCCTCTTGATGTCTAGATGAATCTCCAACTCAGGGCAGACGATACAGTAACTCCCCCCCAACCCCATGCACCAAAAGGACTCTGCCTCCCCTATTTACACTGGCAGTTTCCTGGTGTCCTTGCAGACTTTTTCATTGTATCCAACCAGTTACCACGTCCCAGCCTCTACTGGAAACTCTCCATGCTACAATTCCTGTCTTATTTCCTTTTTAAAAAATTTTTGTTTAATGTTTATTTTTGAGAAAGAGAGAGAGAGAGAAAGAGAGAGACAGAGCGCAAGCAGGGGAGGGGCAGAGAGAGAGGGAGACAGAATCTGAAGCAGGCTCCAGGCTCCGAGCTGTCAAAACAGAGTCCGACGTGGGGCTCAAACTCACGAATTGTGAGATCATGACCTGAGCCGAAATGGGACGCTTAACCAACTGAGCCACCCAGGTGCCCCTTATTTCCCATGACTTCCTTAAATATAACCTGTGCTCTAGACAAGCTGGACTGCTCTGTTCCCTGAACTTCATCCGTCCTATAAAACCTACCTCAGATTAATTAAAAGAAAGACTAACATCAATTTGGTGTAGAAAATTTGGAAATTGTATACCATTATAGGTTTTGTATAAACTACTCACCATTTAGGGTTTTCACACATTCTCATGACAATGAGGAACAATTTGATGCAGACCTTTGCATATATACTTTTGGCCACATCTTTATTCACCTTCCTAGTAATGGGATTATTAGGCTCAAAAGTATGAGCATTCCACAGCTGACAATGCATGAGCCCAAAACTGCTTTCCAGAAATAACGGTGGTTACCAATTTATACTCCAATCAGGGAACAGCGATGGGGTTCATCTCACTTGACCTTTGTCAGCACCAAGTAAAAAAAAAAAAAATGTTTGTCAATTTCTTTTTTTTCTTTTAATGTTTATTTCTCAGAGAGACACACAGAGTACAGGTGGGGGAGGGGCAAGAGAGAGGGAGACATAGAATCTGAAACAGACTCCAGGCTCTGAGCTGTCAGCACAGAGCCCGACGTGGGGCTCGAACTCACGGACCATGAGATCATGACCCGAGCCGAAGTCCCACGGGTAACCATGTTTGTCAATTTCATAGGTGGAAAAGTTATAGCTCATATTTTGTTACCTTCATGTCTTTCCTGGTGTTTTCTCTCTGATCAATTTTCTCTCTTCTCTCCCTCTGTTTAACTTCTCTCTCTCTGCTCAACCCTCAGCCACCTTACAGACCCCACGTGATTCACCCATTGCATGAAATCTCCCCAGCCAACGCCCAGAACACTGCCTCACAGAATCCCATCACTTTGTCTGTATCTCCTGACTCCGCCTTCCAGTGAGATGTTCTGTATGGTTTTCTGGCTCCTCATTCATTACACCTTAAATGGCCCAAGACCAGATCCAGATCTTTCTGCAATGTGTTCCACATCTTAGAGTTTAAAAATGTTGCATTACATTTCCATGTATGGAACTAATCTTCAGCCACATTAATAATGATGTATTAGGAAGTAAAGCTTTAGCACGATGGGACAGAAGTTTATTTAAAAAACGAACTTGGTAATGGTAAAGGTGATTTCTCACTAAAAGAGGTATAAGGGAAATTTTGCAATTTTCTTTGCTCTTATTTAAAGATAGGGTCATGGGGCGCCTGGGTGGCTCAGTTGGTTGGGTGTCTGACTTTGGCTCAGGTCATGATCTCATGGTGAGTTTGATCCCCGCGTGGGGCTCTGTGCTCAGAGCCTGGAGCCTGCTTCGGATTCTGTTTCCCTCTCTCTCTCTGCCCCTCCCCCAATCACGAGCGTGCTCTCTCTCTCTCTCTCCCCCTCTCAAAATAAGTATACATTAAAAATAAATAAATAAATAAAACTTAAAAAAAATAAAGGTACAGTCAAATGCACAATATTCTGTCAAATGGCAAGGAAAGCAGGTTACTAAAGAGTATGCCTAGGGGCACCTGGGTGGCTGGGTCAGTTAAGCATCTGACTTCAGCTCAGGTCATGATCTCAGGGTCCGTGAGTTCGAGCCCCGCGTTGGGTTCCGTGTTGACAGCTTGGAGCCTGGAGCCTGCTTCGGATTCTCTGTCTCCCTCTCTCTCTGCCCCTCTACCACTTGTGCTTTGCCTGTCTCTCTCTCTCAAAAATAAATAAACATTAAAAAAAAAAGAGTATGCCTAATTCCATTTTTATAAAAAACAAATGGTATAGTCATTCATATCCACGTAAAGCATATATTATATACATATTCACAGGCACAGAAAAAGTCTGGAAGTATGTATAACACACACGTTAACAATGGATATTTCCTAATTTTTTTATATGATTGTGTTTCTTTGGATACTTTAAAAAATATAGTTGTTAAATGTTTATT